CCCCCCCCCCCCCCATCCCCTTTGGCTCCGCCTCTGTGTGGCCAACTGGTGTAGGAGAAACGTTTATTTTGAATTAAGAGAGCACCTCACATCATCACATGTTGGAAATGTGGATGAAACAAATTGTTGGGGGTGTGGAAGGTCCACGAGGCTAAAAAGGTTGGGAACCACTGGCAGTACTATGACCTTCTTGATATACTTTGGACGCTAACAATATCTTTATATTGACAAAATCACCAAAATAGATTCAGCCATTTAATTGTGCCTTCATTCTTATGAAATAAAATCAAACCTTTACAACTGTTAAATTGATAGAGTAGCCCTTTTAGCGACCTTATTATGACATTCCTTTAATACAGAACAAATAATAAATTCAGCCATTTAACCATGCCTGCAGTGCTACATATTTTACGAGAATCATCAATCATTTTATTATACCACGTATCCTGTATTTTGATAAATTAAAACATATCGAATTGCGTCATAAATATTTTATCAATATCAATTATCTGTACGGTATCGATGGTGATCAGGTAGACGCCTGAAACTTGATCTGGTGGATATCGGAATATTTCGTTTAAAGGTGTGAAAAGAAGAAACTGAGCAACCCTCATCAAAAGATATCAAATAGCGGGTAAGCGTAATGTTATTTTGTTTTTTCTGTTATCAGCCACAACATATAGGTAATATAGGGTTAAAATATGGAAGCATTGACGTGGCCTCATAATTTGTTTTACCTTGAAGAGGATTCGAACCCATGACACCTAATCGTCTAGCAGACGACAATCCGACTTGCTACGTATACTTGTACTGGATATTGATGGTGTTAAACGAAACGACTTTAATCAGTAAAGACATTTTCTGGCACGAACCAAAATGTGTAGAATAATATTAGAATAAAAAGTTGAATGGTCCACTTTAAAGCTATCATGAACTCCGAAAAGTGATTATCATATAATAGAAAATTTCGGCATCTACCTTTAGCTCCCTTTGCCAATGTGGTACCGCAATCTCCGTCACCACCTTCTGTATCTAGTGTATTTAAAAGTGATTCAGCTGATATCAAAGCACGACCGATATTAACAATAACATCATACATCATTTCTCTTTTCTCTGAAATTCAATGATGAATTCTAATTTACAACTTATAAGAACAGAAAGTAAGATATTTCATTCCGAGCATAATCAAGTAGGTGTAGGTGATTCACCCATACAGATGAGTTGTTGAAAACACAAGTTGGTAAGAGCTATTCACCACAACACTAGTTCAGGCTAAACAGGGGCAAATTCTCTATCCCCATTCTAGCTTTATCGGTGGGTTAGTAAAAGAATGTTTGCTATGTTTATCACGATTGCGACGAATACAGCAAAGGGCGTTGCCTGGTTGAAGATGCTTTTTTTCAAACCAGGAGAGTGAAATATATCTTTAAATACCAAGGCTTCGAGTGGAATAGTGGAAATTTGTGGCTTCATGGAGTTGGACAGACGACAACCGCCAACCCCAGCTCATGTTTCTGCGGGCTAAGATGTAACATTGCTTCGGACTTTAAATATTTGTTTAAATAAGCCTACCCTCTGATTCCAATACAGCATAATCGGTGTTATCTTGAATTTCAGCAATAGTTTCGATCTCAATTGGTGTCGTGTTCAGATTGGTCGATATCAAGGGGCGTGGCCAACAAGGAGCATCCGTTGCAGCATCTGAAAATTCAACATGCAAATATTCGTCATTAGATCTTCATAATTCAAGGCCTGACTGTTCATTTCGTCGAAGCCTTTGTCAACGTTAAATCACTAAAGCATTCCACGATTTAAAACTGTTAATTGAGACGCTGAAGGAAACAAATCTTGTCATAGATAACAACTTAGTCGTCATTGTATTGGCTATACGTTAATCACATGACAGTTTTTCTTTCTGATAACTGCTTTACAAAACTAAAATATCTGAGATACTTTGGCAATAGGAATACACGTATACCACCTTTCTCTCTAGGTTCAACTTACCAAATAATCTGGTGGAAACTTCATCAAGTTTTAAAATAGTTACAACCACTCCGGACATTTCCTGGGACGTGTTTAAATGTCCACATAGAGATCTCCTTACATGTATACCTAAACCTAAAAATAGATAGAAATAGATCTACTGATTCCATTTTCAGATTCAAAATCTTTTGAAACCCCATTTTGAAGATTGCTGAGGACAAATCAAATCCGACATTTTGATTTATCAAAGATCTGATTGGCTTATACCCATGATGCATGACGATACACGTCCACATATTATTGCAAATAATTCCCGCCTTATAGCATCGTCACAATGTTAAGCTATTACGAACTTGGTATCAGAGTTCGTATTAGCTTGACATTGTGATTTTAAGTGACATAGAAATCTATATTGAGTGTATATTCAAGTAGCCAATATTGTCAGATACAACAAACATTTGAAATCTGTAGTAGAGACAGGGAATGCTTACTCTAGACACCTGATACCACTTTTCATTATGAAAACATTATAATTGATATACTTCCTTATGTAAAAAGTTTATTAGATGCTACTAATGTTTGCCAGTATGCTGTTTGGATTTCAGGTTTCGTTTTGCGTCCGAATTGTTAAAACTTGGTTTATTCATTGGCATTTACATCTAAAATAATATGCAATTAATTCTGTTCTGTCAATTGCGTGCATGCCTGCTCTTTATTCTGATATTTTCATTTTGATTATAGAAATTCCGTAAAGTTTACTAGAACCTGTTTATAATGATACCAATCTGCCCGCAGTCGCGACCTTCAGCCATGACCTTCAGCCATGTATTAATTATCTGGATATATATGTCTGACCATGAACTTGTGTAATTAAACGGGGAAATTAATACGGGCTATCTTTACTCAGATGTGGAAATATAAACATTGTTTACATCAACGACTGACCCCTAGCCAGGTTTGCTTTCCATAAACAATATTCCATCTACACAATACCATGCTATTACTAACGTCGTCTTATACCACTTTCTTATTTCATATAATTTTGTAAATGCAGCTCTTTGATTAGATTGTACGCTAGAGAAAAAAGCCAATCTGAAACCTCGACAGAAAGTCTGTCAACCATAAGACGTAATGTTCATAATATTTGCGTCGAGAGCTCTGATTAACTGTATTCTCTATCGTACAATCCAATCAAATCGCTGCATTCCTTGGTCACAGAAAGGTCACTATTGCGATCAACGTATAAGAGGCACTTCGTAATAGCTTGATACTGTGAATATATGAACACACAATCCCACCTTTAAGATAAAGAATTAATTCTCTGATTAATATATTCATCTCTAGGTAAGTTGTACCACCTAGATTGTTCATCACACATAAAACCTCCTCATCTGAAATTAAAAAAACATCGCATCTAGAAGGATCAGAGGTTACATGGGGAAATTGACACATTCACAAAATATTATGGTATATTTCATCTCTTGAATACCAAAGTACATAACCTTGTAACACAATCTACATGTGTCGACAACAGATGAAATGAAGAAGGGTAAACAGGGTTAAATAAATATCTTTCAATTCTAGGCCCGTAGCTATAGGGTACAGAGGAGCAAGGAACAAAAGAGAAATTGACATAAATCCACAGACTAACATCCCTCCCCTCCCCCCACCTTCCAGCCGACTCGAACAATCAAGTCTGTCTACGGACCTGCTATACATATACCTTTGTTCAAGGACAGTCTGTTTTTATTTTCTAGCGATGTCATGTGATCAACCATAATTTGGATCGTTTCTTTGGCAGTGGTCATCTATAATAGCAAATCATATCATCTTATCAAATAAATTATAGGAATTTCACTTTCTATTCTTATATATGTATTTTTCTATATATGACAGACGCGGATAATTTTGGACACACACTGATCAAATGTCGATGGTGAACTGTGAACACTATTACTGATTAGCTTAGTTTGAAAAGTCCAGTTTCTGAGACTATGGCACGATTGGTTAAACAAATGGCCAATCTTTGTCTTTAATGTAATTAATGTTATTTCTAATTTTGAAATATAATATAAGTCCACGTGAATTCTGTGACATAAGAACTTTATAGTTTGGTTTTAATTAATATTATTGAAAATGAAATTGTAATTTGTCACGTAAAGGAAACATTTTTTAAGAAGTCTAAAAATTTAATCGGATTGAAAGCTTACAATAAGGATGACTATTTAAATTGAACAGAAAAAATGTGTCAGTCATTTACCTTGAGGCTTTTGACCCCTGGTTCTCCATGTACCCCAAGACCCAGTTCCATTTCATCCTCGCCGATATAGAATGTAGCACCCGTTCCTGGTACTGTACAGGGAGTTAAACACACTCCAAGTGATCCCATGTTTTTGATGATTCTATTCAATGTGTCTACTATTTCATCTAAACTCTTCCCTTCTTCAGACAAAGCACCTGCTAACTAGAAGTTACATAGCATTTGAATTAACACATGTAAAGTTTACTTAGTGGCGTTTCTACTTGGTAAAGAGAGAGATAACAGGGGCCTGCCCCTAAAGGTTCATAGAATCGTCAATGAATGTATGGATAGATTTACCGGAAACGATTAATGAAAACAGTTAGTGTGTAGTGAACTATAAGCACAAGTACAGTGGCCATATATTTCGAGCTGTTTTAATTTCCTAAAATGTAACCCCCCGTCTAAGTCAAAAATGAAATCCTATGGTTAATTACGTCTTAATATATTGCAATAACCACAAATCCATGCCAATCAATATCTTACAAAACAACTTAAACAACCAAACATGCAGATGACATTATTTTCAAAACTTTTACTTTCATTTTCCGCTAATTAGTGTTACATAAGTGTTCAAAAGCGAAGGTTCTATGTTGGATTTAGACATCCAAACACGTTTTTTTTATTTCGGTTGCAAATGAGCACAATACAGGTGTAATTAGCCAATTTGGTCGACAACGTCTTATATTTTCTAAGTTTGACCTTAAAAGTGGCTTTTGGCATTTACTACATTACGTTCAACTCCATTAGAATTATGTAGCGTTGCTTTTTATTTATATTGGTTGGATTTTAGCGAGGTCATATCTTGATTTTCTTCTTTTTTTCTCTCCTGAAGATCTGATTAAATTTGGGAGATTTGTGATAACAATTTTACAATTTAAATACACTTTTGGCTCTTTATGGCCTCACGATATCACGATATATCATGATGATGTAAATAAGGAAATATCCTGAATATTAACACGATTTCACACGTTCTGCTAAGACTCACTTTGCAATTCAATTATGAGGAAACAGTCCAAAAAAGCGGAGTATATACAATTGATAAATCAACATGATATACAGATTAACCTACAACTTCAACTATTAGAACATGTCCAGTTAACACAACACGGAGCACCAGCTTATTTAAAAGAACATCTTGGCAAAGTTGAAGATGTTGTTACTTCTAGAGTAGAACGTGCCATATTCACATCTTCAAAATGAAAATATCCTTTGCAAATTTATTTTATTTTCGTATATCTGCAGGTCTAAAGTAAAGAAATATGCTTCTTGTGAAGACGGTCGCATACGTTCTGCCAAGTCTTCTCGTGTATTTTCCCATCTGAACACTTAATTTGAGGGAAAGTGTCTTAATGAGATCTACCTAACGACAGAAAATAAGAAAGCTGTATACAACGTACTTAATACCTGGTTACATAAGGACAAATGCTTAAATTTAAAAAGGATTTCATACGTTCTCTGAAGATTTCTCTTGTAAATGAAAATGAAATGAATGGAGTTTTACGTCCTACTTTTCTGCACTATATGGGGAAGATTTCTCTTGTACTTTGCAATTCAAAAGTAATATGCAGAAAATGACACAAGGAGATCTCACCAAAAACCAGAAAGTGTGATTGCCAATATGCCTGGGGTGTGGGACTAGGATGTCAGAGACGTGGCCAACTGTTGTCGGAGGGGAATACATCTTTGAGGATCTTTATTCAGGACTTATGGTGCACATTTGTTAATTGATGGACGTGTAGCAGTCACGACCCCAGAGCCAACCTAGTCCGGTTGGGAACATTAGGAGTACTATGATTAGCTCAAATAAAAAGTTATACGATTTATAACCTTTTGCTGGTTTGGGGATATCAAATGATTGAGGGTTGTAAAAGGTTGTGAACCACTGGACTAATAGAAAGGTGCATACTTTATAAGCTAATACGAATCCAGTCAGCCCACGTCTACCAGCTGATTTGCTACTGGGTACCATCGCACAGTCTTCACCCACCGTTACACAAGCTACTCTAATACCTTCTTGTTTAGCTTTCTCTACAGCTACTCCAAAATTCAATCTATCTCCAGTATAGTTAGCGATTAGAATTAAACAACCAGCTGAAATATACAGAGAACATCTTCAATATTTTCTAGACAACTTTTTTAGATATACACGAGACAAAGGGTCTTAGTCTTATTCTCGAAAACTTAAATTAAGATGAATTTAGTGTTGTAGTCATATCATTTGTCAATCACTAACATCGATTTCAAATTGGTTTTATTATCTATCATTATTATCCATTGTGAAAATACCTTTAACATTACCTGGATTATGTCTAGTGACCAGTCTAATTGCTAATAACAGTTCTTGTGATGGTGGAGCAGCAAATATTGATCCCATTACACAACAGGTTAGCATACCTCGTCCAACAAATCCTACAAAATACTTCATACATTGTATATACAGAGGATATTTAGTAAACAGTTTGATCATTGTAATCGGGAAGTGGTTTCTACAGGAGACGATTTGATTGGTCTAAAAATCAAGTCATTAGAACTGAACTGCGATAGTAAACTTGCTAGATTACAATGGTGGCGAATTTGTAATCTTATTTTGATAAGATTGAGGATAACTTCACCTGCTTCATTGGGTTCATGGCCAGATCCACCACCACTCAAAACACAGACCTTCCCCTGCTTCCCCAGGTCCTCATAGTCCTCTCGTACCAGTATCCTGTGACCTTTGACCTTCTTGATACCAGTATTCACCAGAGTAAAACCTTCCAAGTTTTCATCAACACAATTTTCAGGGTCATTGATCAGCTTTTTACTCTTTCGTTTTTCAGCCATTTTAACAGACAGTAGATAATAATATAGCCTATGTTTTCCCTCTGATTCTTAACTGTGTTCCAGCTTCTTCTTTCGAATTAGAATTGAATATGGGAGTTTGGTTTCACGCCAGTGTATATCCAAAACCCTTCACATATTATCGTTGTTATCGTCAAGAAAGTTTCCGAGCTAGACACTTCCAAAAGACCCACAACTTTGATAACCTGGAAAGTTGTTACGCACAATACAATATACGAGTGATTCAAATCGGTCAAAGTGTCCTTATGAGTTCTTGACTATTATACATGATATATTTTATATATTTCTCCATTGTTTCACGCCATTGCATGTGCAGTCACATATCATCATCAAGACAGTGTCTGAACAAGGCACTTCCGCAAACCTTCTGACAACCCAAGCCACACTTAAGATCAGGAAGAGTCACCTTTCCAAACGTAAACGAGTTTTGCACTAAATTATACTATTAGAATGACAATAAACACTACATTAATATACTGATAAATATTAACTATACAAAGATAACAATATATAGGACAAATGACTTAAATATCAAATTTTTCGACGAGGATATAAATGTATTTGCAGATGCTGCGCACTCTGGGCGGCAAGTACACACGGTGCAATTAGGCTATCGCTAACCCTTTTGAAGATATCGAAATATGCCCCCCCCCCTTTTTTTTTTTTTTTTTTGCTTGCATGGAGAGCAACATAGTCACTTTTGAAAAATATCTCGACAACTATCGCACAATCACCCCCCTACTCCACTTTCCAATGACAGCTGACGGTAAAAACGTCCTGTTATGCGATGCCATTCTTGAAGTTTATGAAAGCTCTTGTAAACCCTTCCCCCGTTTGAACAATGGGACTATATACAGACTTCTCGAACATCGTGTACTTCTGTTTGGGATTGTATTTCACGGGTACACTTATAACTTCCATTTTAATAACTCGAATTTCCGTCCGACTTAAAAAAAATAAGTGTACCTGATACTCATGCACAATCTAGAAAACCACTTTAAAACCCCCTTTCAATTCTATGACTATATGTACGGCTTATAAACAGTTGACATAACAACTGACCCCTATTTTAAATTATGAGTGGTAGATATAAGAACATTTAACGTGTATACCTATATATCTATACATTGAATAAACTTATTATTCAGATCGATACAAATTGATTTATAACTAGTGTTGTTACTGTATATCTTTATAACTCGAACACTGTTACTAATATAAAGGGTATTGATAAGGTGTCTATTGTGGGGGTCACCAAGGAGTTGTATTAGCTCTCTAAACGTTTCATTAAAATATTGTTAAGTTGGTAGCGACGACATTTTGTAAAACTCTTTAAAGTATTTCTTCTTATAATTTGAGTGGATTTTAACGTTTCAAATTGGAATGGATTTAATGTTTGATTTAAGTAAGTAAGTTATCATTTCTATATTTTGTTAAATGTAGATTAGTTAAATGTGGTTAAACAGGTCTCAAAACTTATTTAGAATTTATGAATACATGTAAATGGGCTTCTATTTGGGTACATAAATCTCAAGAAAAATTCGGATATATGGGCCTCAAGAATTCTCAAAATGTTTTTGGTAAGATAGGTCTCAAGGAAATTTTATATATTTAGGATTCAAGAGTTTTTTAAGGAAAAATAATTTGGCCACATAAGTCTCAAGATAAATTTGAATATATTGGCCTCGAAAAGGTCTCGAAAATGGTTTGGTTAAGCTACATATATATAACCCTGGGGCATGAACTTTCCAGAAAAGAAAAGAGGCTGACCCGGGTTTGACACCCCTCCCCCCCTCCCCCCACCTCACTTTCAAATTTTTTATCAGTTCACATAGCCAAAAATGACCCCCCTGGAAAAGTTTGTGGCCCCTGCTCGGCCACCTAACCTGATATTTTCTATAAACACCACTGTGTAGCGCAAATAAAAGTATTTATTTTGTATTTATCATTTTCACACCTTCTCGCAGAATTTATAAAAGTATTTGTATCCGGATTATTTTTTTCTGTAAAATATTGTTTGATAAACTAAAATAAATATTTAATCTTTAAAAATATCACGAACATAGTTAATAGTTTACATAGTAGAAGAATGAAAAGTGAATTTGTCTTGAACAATCAGTTACGTGTTGTTTACTCAGCCTATGGCATAATAGTCCGAAACTCGCCGAATGACGTTTTTCTGGTCTTTGATATAGTTCAGTTCATGAGCAAGAGTTAGAAGCTGTTGCACGTTTTGAGTGGATGATACCATTTCAAAAAGGTTATTATTCTTTTCTGAAACGGGAACAGTCGTCTCAACCGTTTACAAGTGAATCGCATTCTGTATACTTCTCAAAATGAAAGTTTCGAAGCATAATTTTTTTAGGCAGAGAAATTATTCGGACAACATTATCACATAAAAGAAATAGGTCTGACAACTCCAAGTCTTTGTGACTGATTTGTCGACATTTCAAAATGATATTTATAAGAGACCAGAAATAAGAGCTAGTCTCGGACTAACTACACACTAAACGACGTCTTAAGCAATATCTGAATGAAACGGAACCATTCTAGAATCACGTCGGTTACACAGGATTATTGAGATTTATGGCGCCAAAGCAATCATTAAAACAATGTTTTAGATTTTAAATAACCGCACGTGCGTTTAAGATGCTATAAATAACACAATTAAGTATAATAATTATGTCATTGAACACATGTTCGGATTAAAGCCTCCTGTTGATTCTGCCATGTGTTCCAAGATCACTCGCTCATGTCCCTGTCCCAGCAAAATTTTCCCGATAGCTCATTGTACACTGCATGGCTTTGTTCACCTTCATTAGCCCAATCAGGTACAGGGAGTAAAAGTTTAAAACCCTATTCTATTCTTTTCATTTCACCTTTTATGAGTTCACGCAAATGAGATGCCATAGTGCTGCCATGTGCGCTGGGTTGAATCGGTTTCAGTTGGTGATATAAAGTGACATATTCGTTGAATTGTCCGGAGGGGCAGGTAATATATTTGGAGGGGCAGGTTATATATCTGGAGGGGCAGGTAATTTGTCCGGAGGGGTAATGATGCATGGTGTTAGGTTGCCGTATTGGAATTGGTCTGTTGTTGTAGCTACGGGTCTGAGTGACGATAGTACGATTTACGTCGAAGCATTGTCGGTGGCGGATTTTGGACTTGTTAAGCCGTAGGCAAACGAACGGTAGAGGGCCTAATTTCTATTTTTAGGGAGGGGGCATGGTGTGATTACAATTTTATGGCAGGAAGTTTGCGATCTTTTTTTTCAGGAACAGATCAATCAGCTCATCACCATTAGGCTCAAACCATTTAGTCGATTCTCATCACATCAATCTCCTTATAGAGTAGGACAATTTTCGATGGGCCTGCGGAAATTTGTTAACTGTTTGATAATTTTTACTGTTACAAAATTTGTCATGGGCCGAAAATCCATGGACCGAAAGGCAGCTGCCTAGTTTGCCTATAGGTTAATCCTCCTCTGTGCATTGTAGTAAAGTCAGGAGTATTTTCAATTCTAATGCGAATATTACAGATGGTATCTGAAATCTATAAGCTGCATCATTTAACAATGTAAACGACTATAACACTTTGTAATTTATTGAAAGCTTGTGTAATCACGGCTCTTATAGTTCTTTATAAGTTGGCAATAAACAAAACGATTCAAGGAAGAAAGATTCTTTACGATAGTTGGTACTTAACCAGATGTCATGGCATTGATCTCTTCGGGATTATCTGCACTTAAATACATCTGGATTGACTTAAATACTAAGAAATGATAAACCATTAAAGATTATCAGTCTCTCACACGATCACCATTTGTTTACAGATGTCTTTTCTTGTGACGTTTTTCACCTTCATTTACAGCTGGATTGACTGGAACAATAACAGATTTGCACACTCCAACCGATATCAAAACCCACGACAATCATTTGTACCCAGATGTATTTTCTTGTGATGTTTTTCAAGATTATATGCACCTTGATTTAGCTTGGTTGACTGCAACAATGACAAAACAAAAACAGAATTCCTACATTAAAACCCACGACAACCATTTATACCCAGATGTCTTTTCTCATGATGCCTTTCTTCAAGGATTTTATATTTAGAAATTTTGTCATTGTTGGCCAGCTGTAGTTACACAAAATATGTTATGTTTGATTTTCCTACAAAAACATTAAATACAAGAATTTTCTAGATATACTAGTAACACCTTTTCGACTTTTTCGACTTTTTCGGGCTGATATGGGAACGCGGATAGGGCAATAAACCCCCGCCCCGTGAGCTACAGGCAGTGTACGTTAAATATCTCTCGACAATTGTAAATCGTAAAAGAGTAAGCAAATGCCGCTGTCCTAGCAACATTTCCATCATTGCACACTGTATGGCGTTGTCCGTTATCACTCAATCAGATGCAAAAATATAGGACGTAAAATTCCACCCACTCAATTCATTTAGATGAGTTTTCACTCTCGATCTGCATTTGATCACCTGGAATAAATCACCTTGAATAAGTCATCGTCACTCATAATTCCAGTTGACCCAGCTGTAAATGGGTACGGATAATCTGGGAAAAGAATCAATGCCCTGAGGTTTGGCTGGTACCCGGACCAGCTGGTAGAAAGGATCTTAATTTATGTTGTTATCCTTATAAAATATAGTGTGTTTTTTTCTTTTAGACAAAAGCCAAATAAAATTTTCATTTTTTATTTCAGAACGCACCAAGTGAATGAATGATCAAATATGCCCCGGAACAAGAGAGCAAGAAGATTCGTCAGCATGCCACCTTACTCAAGAGATGCCGAGCACAAATATATTCTCAAAATTACTCAGAAAATATCCTCGAATATAAAAGATTTTAAGCAGGATTTTATACAAGGGGTCAGGATCGACTATCCAAGCTGTGTAAAATGTTTAGATCGAGTTCTAGAAGATTGGGAGAAAGATAAGGGCGAGTTGAAAACCTGGAGAGACTATCTCGATCTGGTGACATATAAACAGGTCGATCGAAAGGTTAAGACCAGTGCTGAATTTAAAGACTTGTATTTCATTTGTGATCGAACGAGCCATTTTGAGGGTTTAATTTCGGACCGACTGAACCCCGAGCTCATGAGATGCATGTACGACCACCTGTACCGATATTGTGTCAGCTTCGAGCTGGAAACGAAAGGACTTGAAATCGAATCAGTACAAATATATGAAACTGATTTAACACTGTATAGGAAAAATATAGACTCCAAATTCGACGCCATTGCCGATGCCATCAATCAAATCGAGAATTTGGGTTCGCCATTTCATGATCTTGTAACTAATGGTAGAGACCAAGAGACCCAGATTGAAGACGTTTGTGACATGCTTCTCGATATTTGTCAAACTGCCAAGTCTTGGATTAAGCAGGACAAAGGGTATTCTGAAGAGATCTGGCAGGAGATGCAGACCTACCAGTCCAACAGACTGAACCTCAAAGATGAGGAATCCAAACTTTTTAAAAAGACAGCAGGAATTATCAAGAAGATCGAACACACCGAAAAGTTAAAGAAGCAAGCCATTAAAAAATACGAAACGAACAAACGAGAGAGAAAAAAGCTGCAGAGTAGAATCGAAGTCGTGGAGGACAAACTTGTTCGTCTGCATATAAATATTGAGAGAAAACGAGAAGCCTTCTACAAAACACAAGAACACAGAGCGCTGGAAAATCCCCTGACCCCTCGGATGCAGATCACCTACGATGAGAGACTCGATAGTCTTCAGCGTGATGTGTACAGCATGGACGGCCAGATCGACCCCACAGAGAAACATCTTCAGAAGCTAAAACTAGATCTGAAGAACACCCGAGATACGACATACGAACATAAAGTGGATGCTGCCACCAGGGATAACGAGATCCATGATCTACGTAAAGAATTACCACCGATTGATATAGAATTACAGGCCATCAAAGATGAAATTAAGTCGAATGAGGCTAAGCTTGCTGTCATGCAGAAGATCAGAAGTCATATTGCTATTGCTGATACTCTTAGAAAGCTTCATAATGATGAAGAGATCGAGGACAAGAAGCAGCCTGAAACAGGTAAAATTCCACGCCCAATCCAAATACGTTTTCTTTAAGGAGTCCAAGATTGTATGCTGCTATTTGAGCCAGAAACTAAATTTTGATTTAGTTTCGTACAGCTCCAGCATCCTTAACCAAAATCAATTTAATAGTTCTATCTAAATCATGATGATTGACCAATTACTCAAACCTAAAGCACTTTGTGACCTGGGATCCGTTTCACAAAATATTATGATTCAGTCTGTTGAAAGTATAGTATTTCTCAATGTAAACTTATACACCTACGACAAATTCTTATCGTTAAGATTTTAGAAAACTTGGCCCACCCATATTTCAAATTTTCGTTTTGTTACTTCAGACAACCTGAATGAAGCCTTACAAACAGTCTCTGAAATGGTTGGCATCGAATGGAAAAAGATTTACCCAAAACTGCCTTTTATTCCACCGCGGGATTCCTGGAAGAAGACCAGGGATATTGAAATATTGGATATCACGGCCATGAGATGCGACCAGACCCATCAAGAACAGGCACTTAAAGCTTTCGAAAAATGGCTGACATTTAATCGTCATGGCAACTTGCAGCAGCTGATTAGAACTTTAAGAAAAGTGAGGAAAGTGGAATTGGCAAGTGAATTGGAAGAGAAGTATATGGTAGAAGACGTTTATTGAAATAATTTCAGAACAATAGAACAATGTGATATGAAAATAAGATCAATATAATATTTGCAAGACAAATTTCGGAATCTTTTCAGTGAAATATTATAGTAGAGCAATATTGATCTCAATCTAGGATTCAAGAGTGCACAAGTTGCTAATTAGAGAAGAAATGTTCCAAAAGGCTTCTCATAGCTTTTTAAAGGAGAACCTTCACTATCTGTTCGATCGATCATACCTTAGTTTTAGAAACAGGAATTATTTTAGCTTACATAATCAGTAATAGTGTTCACAGCTCGTAGAAATTTGATCCATCAAATCTATGTGTATCTATAATTACTTCGCGTTTGAAAATTAAAAATTCGACTCGAATTATAGTGAGACTATGCCATATATATAGAAAACACATATATAGAAATAGACGTTGAAATTTCTAGTTTGAGGTATATTTGAAGGGATTATGCGATTTTCGTGCGTTTTAGTACTTCTTAAGACTATTAAAGCACCATTAAGACCCAAATCAATCCCCGAAAATGCGGACTGTTCCCCTTAAATAGTTCATAGTACTCCGCCAAAAGAGACTCCTTTTTCGTTTTAAGATTTTATGTAATATCGAAGGAAATTTCTCTCAGAAAAACGCGGATTTTTCTATGTTTTTATTACTGTTGTAAAAAGGCACAGGATCTCTTCTGTAAAAAATTTGTTGGTTTTAGTTCATTAGTTCTTTTCAACCAAGCAATTTCGGAATGAAGAGATAAACCATTTCCATTTGTACCAGCCTTGAGCTTGTGGAAATTTACATAAGTGCAGCATATGGAAAAGCACTATGGCGCCTATTTTCACAATATCAAGTTATTAAAAACTGCGTTTAATTTAAGTTGGCCATATATATATGATATTGATATTGAGAAGATATAAATCGCTTTAAAATATTACAGTGAAGAAACTAGAAATCAGTAGTGGTAGGTGACTAGTTGTATTCGTAGATCATTTCAAAATCAATCGATACTCTTTCAGAAAATAGAATATATTCTTCTTTAAAATTCGTTTTTATATATATATATATATATATATATATATATATTATATATGTATTCGCAGGACAGTAAGTAGAGAGACTGTATGAGATCTGAAAGCGTAGATGAGCATTCGGTATCAATTTATAACCCTATATGTTTTCTACTCAGGAGAGACTGATATGCCAATACATATTGTGATATCATAAATACTGTATAGAGCCAGAGTGGTAAGTGGTTATGTACAGCACCCGGATTCAATTTCTGGAACTTTACCATTAGTGGCGAGATGAGAGTTCGTATTCTTGCCACTGGTCAGTCCAATACTAAGAACAAAGGGAGATAACCATGTTTCATTACATGCTTGTCCAAGATTTCATTGAATCTGTTGGCTTACATCTTAGGTATGCAATCTGCAGACGTTCGTGTTTAGACATTCAAATATTACTGGTAAAAATACCATCCATGTTCAAGCCATCATTTAAGCCTTAATTCTGACATAAAGTCAGAATTTTTTATTCTTTATCCAAAAATCACACTTATGAGAAAATGCAACATTTATACAGTATAGCATCTTCTCAATGTCAAGTTATTACCATGTCTATTAGACACAGTTTGTTAAAGCTTGACATTGTGAAGATGTATGTACATACTAATATTGACTAAATGGAATGTAAGCAAGGGGTAAGTATTGGACAGCAGATGCTAGGACTGAAGTCAATAACTCTGCCCTCAGGCCATGGAGAACAAAGTGATTGAGACATTTAAGAGTTTAATATGGTATTTGGAAGCCAAATGACCGAAAAAATTTGTAGTGAAGCATTTTGATACAATTCGATGGTTTCTGACCACAATTTACCAATTACCAAATCCAGCACCAAATTAGAAGGCCTTGAGAAACATTCAGGTAGTAATAATCAAAATAAAAAAGTTTTCAGTCCGATATAAACAATACAAATGACATTGCATTTGAAAATTTTACTTTAAATTATTAGTGAAATTAGTAGTTAAACAATAGTCACTATCAAAACCTCTTCTTGGGCATACATTCTATTTGAATGTAAAAAATACATTTGAATTATAATATATAAATTTCACTGAGCAATAATGAAATTAAGCCTAAGAGAATACATTCTACTTGAATGAGGCTTTTAATAGAATACATTATAATTTCAAGATATGAAATAAACTTTAATAAACAATGACAAAAGTTGAGAATGAAATAATGAAGAATGATTTTCAACTAGAAAAATAGCACTATAATCTTATATACAAAATACTTAAAGGCAAGACAAAATTTATTGCATTCCAACAAGTCTAATGGATATCTGAAATTATACTCTACAAACTAGAAGAGTAAATCTTAAAGAATACATATCCCTCCAAGGGCATCTTCACAATGATCAAGCTATTTCGACCTGCGTTTGGTACCTTGACTGCAATAGCCACCTTTCTTGTATCACGGAATGCAGCGAATTGATTGGATTATATGCCATCAAATAAGCCAATCAGAGGCCTTGACAGAAAGACTGTAAACTTTATAGCTTATTGTTTACAGACTTTCTGTCAAGGCCTCTGATAGGTTGTATTCTCTAACTTACAATGAACAAGCTGCCGTGATACAAAAAGTTGGCTATTGCAGTCAAGGTATAAAACACAGTTTGTAATAGCTTAACATAATGAAGATATCTGTGGGGAATTTTTGCAACAAATATGGCCCATAAAAATATCCATTGTCAATTGTAGAAAGAATGCAACAAGCCAAGCCTTTAAGATTAAAGGGACAGATGCCCAATTTTTTTGACCAATCATACACAGTTTCAGAAACCAGAATTTTCTAGCTAATCAGTAATAGTGTTTACAGCTCACCGTTGGAATTTGAGCCTTTAAATCCATGTATGTCTAGAATTATCCGCAAAATGACAACTCATCAATTTAAGATATTCTGTGATATAAGGTATAGAAAAGACATATATGGAATAGTGAGTAAAATTCCTAGATATTTTGTGATTTTCGTACATTTCTAGTATTTCTCAAGACTATTCACATATATTGAAGACTAAAATCAACCCCCTAAAATGGCGCACCTGTCCCTTTATATACCCATAATATATACATACAAATAAATTTATATAAACATATTTACAAATAATATAATACTATTGTTGTCTTGGAGAAAAAAAGTCATAATTGAGTCACAGATGTGTGGTTGAACCTAAATGATATTAGAACACATCCAAGGACAATTGAAAACTGAAACAAGAGCTATGTTTACATTATTATCAGATACAATTGAAATTGAAATAAAAATGTTTTTAAAGAAATCATCAATTTATAATTTCAGTGCAAGAATTAAAGTATCAGTTTATTATATAATATATTATTATTATCTTATTGATTTTTAGGTCTTTGCACTACAAGTACGAATATCCATTTTAACATATCAACCTTAACATTCATGAACATTGTTTTAACCCTGTACCAGTGCCTTCTGTTGGATAGTAACTTGTTACCTTTCAGCCACCCTAATCTCTATGTTATTATATAATAAAAGAAGTAAGAAAACACCTTTTTATTCAGCTGATGAAATCGATGAGGATGAAAGCTCGTAAAATAAAAGTTTTTTTACTTCTTCTATTATTTTCAGATAGTTAAACAATCAATTTACACAATATTACTCTAATATCTATAGTTTCTAGAACTACTTATTCTACAAAAAAATTATAAAGACTCCTTGATTTCTTTCTTATCTACAGTTATTTGATATTGTCAAATCTTTTGACATTGAAGACAAATTTTCTTAAATAAAACAAAGAATCAAAACAACAAATCAAATTCTATCTTTACATTCATCGCAGCACTTTGGAGCTCAAAACTATGATGTTTCAAATGAGTATAAAACAAAAAATTCTGGATAAAAATAGAAAAGCTTAAAAAGCTCAACAAGATCTACAAACAGATCTCAACGTTTTAAAGTGGAGACTACAACCTACAACATTAATCATCTTGTTTCAATCTAGATTCCAATGTCCTGTCCAGAGAGGTTACTTGGCTCTCACATGAAAATCTTGTAATAATTGGGTATAAGTACACAAACATTTCTAAACTTTTTTAACAGAGAGCTCGATTGGTTAGTTCTGAACAGGTCCTTTCAGTTCCAATTCTCACAACAAACACAGTCAAAAACCATGCATTTGGCATTACTTGAAAAACCAAGTAAATACTGTCAATTTCAATAATTCAATGAAATATTTCTGCTCTTTCTGATCCAAAAACATAAACAAACCAGTCCATTTTATATTCAGGTAGAATAAATAGTAATAGAAACTATACAAGCTAGAAATAAACTGAGTTGATTACTACTTAAACTACCTAATAATAAAAATGGACTGCTCGTGTTCATGTTTGAAATTTGACACGGATCACCAGAAATATCTCTGCTTCACTATTGAAAATTCCCTGATTTGTTCCATTATTTACAGTTCCTGATATCGTAGAGGGTCACGATGAGGATAGGGTTTTATGGAATGGTTTCTATAGATATTAAAAGCATAAGGAGAGTACCAGTCCCTGAGAAACACTTCCTCCAACTGTTTTCTCACGTCTTCACCTGATTTCGTTGTACTATTAGGTTTCAATATAAATCCCACACCACATGTATTTATAAAATAATCTCCAGACCAATTTGACGTTCCTGAAATTTAAATTTGCAAAAGTAGGAATTTAACGCCGATAACAATCCTGCAGACAGTCCTTGTGTAATAAATATAAGGAATGGAATTTTAAGTTCTACTCTTCTACGCTTAGTTCTTGTGTTAAAGATGGGTTTCCTTATTTCTTAGTGTCAAATTAAGCAAACTATTTGATTAATTGGTGTTTTTAATGAATTATCATGTATTCTTATTCATATCATTATGTTCTTATTGCATATGATTAAGAGTTTCAACCAATCATAAATGTCCATGTATGTTAAGTCTGGATAAACAAAAAAGACTTTTTGACCTTTCTTGATCGGTCACTCATTGGAATTCTGCTGATAATTCTCTTCTAATTTAGCTAGTTATGAATTCATTATGGACATATGAGACAAACTGTATTTTTCCAAGTCATCAGAACACCTCTTCTTTCTATTCATATAAGTATTAGCATTTTCATTTTCATAAATGAAAATAAGGGAACCCATCTTTAAGCAAGAGGTCCACATTATATTCACAAATATACAGTATGTTTTTGCCGACAGCTGACAGATCTGTGTCAAACGGGTCTAATGTATCTATTAAGATAAAAGACGTAAAATAGCTCGGAAGCTGATAGATCTGTGTCAAACGGGTCTAATGTATCTATTAAGATAAAAGACGTAAAATAGCTCGGAAGCTGACAGATCTGTGTCAAACAGGTCTAATGTATCTATTAAGATAAAAGACGTAAAATAGCTCGGAAGCTGATAGATCTGTGTCAAACGGGTCTAATGTATCTATTAAGATAAAAGACGTAAAATAGCTCGGAAGCTGACAGATCTGTGTCAAACAGGTCTAATGTATCTATTAAGATAAAAGACGTAAAATAGCTCGGAAGCTGATAGATCGGTGTCAAACAGGTCTAATGTATCTATTAAAAGAAAGGTTTAGATAAGACTTACCAATATAAGCATGTTTATCTGTAACCATATATTTATTGTGATTTACTCGAGAAAATGGTATTTTAGCTTGATCTGCAGTATAGTTCACTCGGAACACTTTCTGAAACACAACGAAATGAATTTTGAGATAGTGCTGTCATATACAGTCAAGTAACCTAATTTCGTGCTAACCTATTTTTCATGCATTTCCGGAAAGGGTTAATAATTGACATGCGCGACCTCGCATGACCTCCACATTTGCTTGTTTCGATAAACGTGGGTTTTCTCTACAATATCAGCTATTAGAATGAATCCAGTAGTTTCAAGCAAGGTAAAATGTATTAATGTATACTTTGAAAAAATACAAAATGGCGGATTTCAGTTATTACCAAACGTCACCATTTTTTATCGACCGAAATTTGGTGTTGAATCCTTATATGCACGAAAATAGGTTACACCACTGTACAGTTAATCATTTCTATGACTACAGAAACCAGAGACATCTGGGGGAAATTGAAATAAAGCAAGTAAAAGCCATAATTCATATTACTGAACTTCCATGAGTCAATTAGATCAAACATTGGTTGTTCCTACCAATTTCAATTTTGACCTTATTTTTTATAAGTTTTGAAATTATGAGAATATTATAGGATAGATAGATAGTGACAAGCTGTGCGTGCTCTCATGTAATGAATGCTTTAATTCTAATAACAAAATTTCACCCCCACCCTGAAATATGAGATAATACATAGCGTACTTACCACTTCAATACTGACATTTTTTTTGCTGATTGAGAATAATGATCGTAAATAATTAAACATCTCGTATCTGGTATGATTCCAATGACTGGCCAGCAACCTGACATGTATCGCTCTATCAAACGCAGCTTTTCTTAATGCATCATCTATATTAGGCCAGTAGCTGAAAAAACAAAACACAATTTTTTATGGTCGAATCTAACATCAGTTTGAGCCATTCAAATTTTTAATCAGACGTCTGTGGTTCCTGCAATTCTACAAAATATAAGTGTTTTATGATGTCACTAATAGCAAAATATGCTTTATCACATCAGACCTTTCTTGATTAGTGACATCATCAAACACTTAGTTTTAGTGGAATTTCAGGAAACCAAACATAGAATGAAAATTAGAATGATGCAAATTGATGTTATCAGTGTCCCCAATACACATATAAATTTTAAAACCTCTTTACAATCCTTTTAACTTGAGATCAAAATGCAAAAAGATGTACAGACTACTTGGCTATCTTTTAGGAAGTGGTTAGGACCTCTCCTGTATCGTATTATTGTACTGGTTTTGATGACAGAAGTTAGCCGGACATATCTTGTCTTATCCAGATATACATGATATACAGATCATACAAGTATCACTAGTTTTTAAGAATTTTCCCAATGATAAAAGCCAAATAACAAAAGTTTCACTATGATAATTCTGCAAATTTTTTTTTTTTTCAAAAATTCCAAAATTAACAATCCAAAAATGTATCAGAACTACTCACTTTAAAAATGACATTTTATGTCTAGACGATATCTGTCTGTATATTACAAATGAAGAACAGGTAGTGCCAGATGAAATATTGAAATTTTTAGATGTTTTTATACTGTATTTGTCCTTGTTCCTTGATAATCATTGGTATAATTACACAAGTAATATAAAATATCTTACATATTTTTAACATTATAGAGTGTAGTAGGGTAATAGTCCATAACGGCAATGTAAATATAGCTTTTAGCCTCAGATATTACTGATAATATAGCATTCTCATCAGTTGTCCTCTCTTCTCGTGTTTTTAACCCTGGACACAGTTGGGGAGGGGAACTCTGCAATTAACAAAGGAGTCATTCATTTTCAGTAATTTTTTTCAAAAAGATTATGTATATATTGCAAGAACAAAGATTGCCAAAACTTAAAAATAACCCTAAATAAGTAATACACACTGTTATTTTGAGTGGAAACTGTACTGTCCTGTACTTTCTGGGACACCAACGATTCCCGAGCTTAAGGAGTTTTTTGACGTTAGTATCACAAAGGCTAAGTTTTAGTGAAACTGCAAGACCAAGAGAAGTCCGGAATGGTGCAAATTGATGTTATCAGTGTCTCTGATACACTTAAAAAGTTTAGAAAACCTCTTTACAATCTCTATTCTGGCAAAGTATTATATTATACTTACTGAGAGATAGATATGAGCTGTTTGATTGTCATTATATCTGATGAAATCAGGGTTTCCAATATTAATCTTAGTCAAATATTTAGATGCGTAAGAACTTGGTATTTTTTCTTCATTAGCTAAAAACCAGTAAACTTCAAAAATCTTCATCATATCTTTCGCTAAACAGGAACAGTCTTTTACAACTATTCCAAGTTCTTTAACCTAAAATAATTTAAATTCTATAGTGTTCACAATAAAAAAAAACACATTTGGGTTTATATGATTAATAAACGTAAGTTTAAAATTCTGATGTCTTTATTGAACCACTTTTAGTCCACTCAAGGGCAATAACTCAGTAACAACATTTCGAAACATCCTGCATTTCAGTCAGGATCTTTTGAGCATATATAAGCCTACCAACAAAAGCCTATCCACAATATTATATAACTGCATGGTCTTTCTCATACCATTTGAGTTCAGCCAAGGGCAATAACTCCGCAACGACAAGAAGAAATATCCTGACAATCAAACTCATGAAGGTGTGTAACAGTATAGGTCCTACCTGAGTAAAAGATCTCCAGTCTAGATTAGCACTACCAACATAGAAATGTTTCTCATCAAATATCCACAGTTTGGTGTGCAAAATACCTTTGCCAATTAGCTTGGTCATATTTAACGTTCTTACTTCAGCATTGGCTTTAAAACATGAGTTGAAAATGAATTAAGACTTGTGATATGGCAGTTGTTAAAGCCTAAAATCAATGCATAACTCAAATAGGGTTTAAGAATTGACTTGGCTACAAATGAAGAGATTTATTTCAACAGATTTCTTATGGATTTACATTTTTATAAGTCTCGTGGCATAACATGTCTGTAAAGTTTGAAATGTCGACCAGTCATTAACAAAAGAGACAGCATCCTATAACTGGGGGTACAAAAAGGGAGAGGTTGATAAATTGAGGTAACAACTGTCAAGCACATGGATCTGAAAGGGATCTTCCCAGAAATTATTTTTAAAATTGTTTTGAAGCATTCCGACACATATTTTGGGGCAAAAAGGTATAAAAATCATATTTTAAAATTTCCAAAACATGAAGCAGGGGTACAAATGTGACCCCGCACATCAAACCAGGTATTAAGTAGCATTTGGTGTATGTAGAGCTATTAGTATATTTGAATTCCTGGCATAATCAGCTACATACCAATTCCATCTCAATAGCTTTTTCTGTTCAGAAGATATAGCCAATTTAATATCCAGATTGAGTCCCCTTTTAATACTTCACTGTCAGCTTATTACTGGGCAGTGCAACTTAATACCTGATACGATGTGCGGGGTCACAAATTTTCTTTTGTTAGAGGACAGACCCCCATGTACCCTCCCTGAAAAAAAATCTCACTCACCTTCTTTAGCTAATATTTTAGTATCATTATCTGGATAAACTTTGGACGGTAAATTCTGAACAATTTGAATTTTGACTTTATTTTTACCAGCTTGTAGCAAGGATTCAAACAAGTTTTCACCCTACAAAATATAAGAAATAATTATAATGAAGTCAGTTAATAACACATGGAGATTAGGGTGGTTGAAAAGAAACCAGTTAGGCTACTATTGACAAGCAACTAGTCACTATCAACAGAAGGCACTGGCACAGGGTTAAAGTTGTGTTTAAATGTGTTTTCATGTTAATGTTAAATGAATTAAAATTAAAGAAGGAAATCATGAATGGTTATCATGGTTGTCATGGTTGTCATGGTTAATGGTTGTCATGGTTGTCATGGTTTATATTATATAAATTGATAATGCATTTATAGCTTTCTTTTTACAAAATCTTGAGAGGAACTCGCTGTCAATTAATATTAAAAATTGAATATGTTTTTTGAATTAACAAAATTATGGCTTTGAAACCCTTGATATTTTTGAAACTTTATATGTTAACGAGCCTCCTTTGCATTCGACTTTTCAGTCAGATGTCTGTGAATTTTGTAACCATAGAAATGCTTATAAAAATGTTAATAAACTATTCCTAGCTTTGCTATGGCTACTTAAGATTTGTTTTAATGAAATTGAAACTGCAAGACTAACAGACATCTGACTGAAAATTTGAATGGTGAAAATTGATGCTATCAGTGTACCTCATACACATAAAAGGTTTAGGAAACCTCATTACAATCCCTTTAAGTTAAAGATAACTAAAATACTCACAGGTTTTGAAGTGTCATCATGGTAGGATAAGTCTTTGCCTCTCATTGACCAATAGTAAGAGGCGATATGAATACTGGTATTAGCATTTACGACTAGATCATGTAGTGCAGAGACAGTGGACGGATGAATGGTGGCGTTTTTTTCATACTTTAAACCTAATGGTATACTTTCTACAAGGGTTAGCCTGAAATACAGAAAATTTAGGAATGTTGAGTTTCAAACATCTGCTTTGTAAGATAGCCTAATAGATCACTTTTCAGAATGGAATTATGGCATAAGGCTCTTCTACAATTGAAATAGATGTATAATATCAAAGGATTATGGAATGCTGAGTTTTAAATATCTGTTTAATCAGCTAACAACTAAGTATTATCCCTTCCTAAAATGAAAATATGGCATTAGGCTTATCTACAATTAAAATAATCAGACCACCTCTTTCAACTGTACCTTTACTAATACATTAGAAGGTCCCTTTTTTCAGTTCTTGGCCAAAACTCTTAGCATGATCTTATCCCAGATTATCCAAACCCATTTACAGCTCAATTGATAATAATAATAAGAAATATGAGCAGATAAAATAACAACAACTCTTTTAAAAGAACCATATAAAATCTAAGTGGCCTTGAAGTCACCTCTACTCTTAAAGTTTTCAAACACCCACCAAAATTCTCTTGTCTAAGGATATGAATATATACAGCATCAAATTGTCAAAACGGTAAAATAAGAAAACACGAGCAGGCTACCTTCCGAATCACTGAATTGTTTACATCTTGTTTCAAGATCAATTAAATTTTAATTAGAATTTGATAAATATTTTTCTGTTGTATAAACAAGTGGAAATAACTCTTTATATTAGCAGATTTAATCAGTTTACTTAATAATTACAGTGAAGGGTTTCTGCTTCAAGGAATTTCTGTGGTGGACATACTGAAATACTCCATTCAGACATGGCAGGTAAATGTAAATACATCAAAAACTTTGCATACAGATATATATCAATTTTCATGTAAATTCAATAAAACAATAATTGCTTATTTCTAGAGCAAGGTGCGTAAAAAACCCTGATGACAGCCAGGCATGAATGGCAAATTGAACTTAAACAACTCAGTAAGATATACAACACTTTATGGATAACAATTACTGCTATATTCAACAATGCAAATTTTTGACAATGTTTCTGTTGTCTTTATCAAGCTATTGGTAACATATTTAGGAAATATACAGCAATATCTACAGTGAAAAAGAGGCCTTACGCTGCGGGAACAAAAGATTTTTGTTGTTGCTGCGAATCTCAATTAAAATTCTCTTGTGTGCCTGCGCTTCCGTGACAAGATTATCACGTTGCCATTGCCAACAGGATTTATAATATAAAACCAGTCTGATATTTGTCTCTGTTTGTTTTATCGTCTACAAGACAGACTGTCATCATCCAATCAGATTCATTTTCCTTTCAATTGCACTCTATCATCGTCAAATCGTAGTGGAAAACGATCGAATGGAAACTTTTGTCTACTCATTAGACAGATATTCTGTATTATATACAGTTAAATAAATCATTCTAATATAAAAAATAATAAAATTGGTTTATAGAGAAATATATGTTAAATGCATCATGGAAGATTTACAAAATGTCTGTGCCAAGATAGTTTTTTCTCCATAAACAAAGTAAGAAAATCTAGTTGAGAAAATGTTTCAATCTTTCACCAAGTAAATCATAAAAAAGATGCAGTTTTAGCTTCTGAAAAATTCTTTTTGATTTTCAGATATAAACAAAGGAAAGAAACAGAATCTAGTTCCAGAAAAATTGTGTTCCATTATTATCAAGTTTTTAGTAAATCTATCAAGAAATGAATAAAAATGATTAGGGAATGAATATGATCAAATGGTTTCAGAGCACTTTTGAATTTCTGAAATAAACAAAGGAATGTAACTGAATCTAGCTCTAGAATTTTTTTTTTCTTTTCTTTTCTATTATTTTAACTATCAAGAAGTGTATCAGCTATAATATTTGACAATTCTAGAGAGTATTTTTTTCACTTTCTGAAATAAACAAAGGAATCAAAGAAATCTCATTCCTGAAAATTTTATTCAAAGTTCCTCGGTTTATGTCTATTGAGAGGTGAGTCAGATTTGATATTTTCAAACTCTAGATTAAAATGAATATTTCAGAACATTTTTGAATCCAACAATAATCAGAGGCATGAAACAGAACCAAATTCCAGAAAAGTGTGAACCATTATTGAAAGTTCTTTGGTTTAGATCAACAAATGATTCAGGTTTGATATTTCCATCTCTAGATTAAAATTGGTTGAAAGGTGATTACAGTGAAATGTTTTTAGAACAGTTTTCATGTGAATTTCTACAATAAACAAAGGAATCTAACAAATCTAGTTCCTGATTCCTGTGTTCGTTATGATTCCAAAGTATTTCAGGTCTAATATTTCCCATCTCTATATCAAATTTAGCATTTTTGATTTTCCGAAATAAACTGAATTTAGTTCAAGAAAACTATGTTCCCTATCGAAAGTTCTTTCCAAGGTTTAGATCAACAAATACTTAAGTTTGATATTTCCACCTCTAGATTAAATTGATTGAACAAAATGAAATGAAATGAATGGAGTTTTACGTCCTACTTTTCTGCACCATATGGGCTAATGAAGACAGGCAACGCCATGCAGGGTGCAATGAGGGAAATTTTGCCAGGACAGCGGCATTAGCCTGTTCTTTTTCGATTTCCAACTGTCAAGGGATCAAATTGATTGAACAGTAAATTTGGTTGTGATAAAATGGTTTCAGAACAGTTTTGGATTCAAAACAACCTAACAGAACCAAGCCTCAGAAAACTATGTTCCCTATCTAAAGTTATTTGGTCTAAAACAAGAAATGATTTAGGTTTGATATTGCCACCTCTAGATTAAAATTGATTGAACAGTAAATGTGCTATAATCATTAAGTTGGTATTAACAGAGGTAATTCTCATCAATGATGCTATTTATAGAACTAAACTCAGGTATTCCAGTATGTTATCCTTATATCAGGTTCAACTACCCTGAATTTAAAGGGGACATCCCACATGAGCTTAAAACCCCATCACAGTAAGAATAAAACACACAAGCCAGACGATCTGAACAACCAAACAAAACTCAAAATACAAAACACAGTTGGGCAATATATGTATTAACTTGTTTTCATTTCCACTAGTACTTTTGAGAAGTCAAAAATTGTTTCAGTTTTAATGAAATTAACCACAATTGTGTCCCAAATTCACATACAAAATTTAGAAAACAATCCCTTTAATTTTACAAGACAACATAATATGAATGGTTGTTTACCCAAGAAATAGGCTTGGATAACTAGTCTTATTGAGTTTTGTTCTTTCTCTAACTAATTACCTTAGTTTTTAATTTATAAGACAATTTCTTTTTCATTGAAGCAAGTTAAGTAGAATATTTAAATATTTTCTAATAGAATTAATAAATATGATGTTTCTATGTTTTTAATTTTGTAATTTACTGCCACTAGAGTTAACGTGACCCAGCTGTAAATGGGTACAGAAGTGGCGTTTCTACGCAGAAAATTTGAAGAATCAAAGACCCAGAGAACTCATTTCTGACAATATTAAGGTGCCAAAAACATATCAAAATCTATATCATTTGATTTTGTACAAAGACACTGTAAATGAATCAATCCCTGCTTAACTGAAGAAGGTGTTACTGGGGCCCAGGCCCCCCCAGCTCCACCCTAACCACGGTGCTGCAGCCAGTGCTTTCATTGAATACAACCTAATACCAGCTGGTAGACAGGATCTTAAGGTGTTAACCTTGTAAAAATGGTTGTATCTTTCTTTCTGGGATGTTTCCTTTAAAAACAATTCTTAACAAGTCACTGTGATATAGTTTACATTTTCTCATAATCTTTCAAAACAAACAACATTTATCATATTTACATAGAACTTCTCCAGTTTATAATCTCGGGAATCTAAAACAGTTTGTAGAGCGAATGGCTGATTATTTTCTCATTTTGATACTTCGAAGACAAAACAGCAATTGTGGCAGTGGAATAGCAACAGTAACGAATTGGGTTACCCTCTGCTGGGCTCTGCAGGTGCTCTAAGTTCAATTCCCTAAATTCTTGAAAAATGTCAGATAACTTTCTGGTTTTGATATTATGTAACCTTATCAGATAAGAATTGCATTCTTGTGAATACGGCAATATCAAAAACTCTGATGTGAATAATTACATTGGATTTGAACAGTAAACAAATTTAGATCTTTTCTCACGACAAATACAGAAAATTCAAAAGCCATACAAATATTACAAATCTAACCAGGACTGGCAAATACAGCAGAAGTCAACTGCCCTGGGGCCTTATTCTTGAAAACTTAACTTAAAATGATTTTAGTGTTCCAGACATTTGATGTGTCAATCACTAAAATTGATTTAAAATTTAGTTTTGTTAACCAATCAGATTACTGTATTTCTTAAAATCTGGATTCTATTTAAGTTAAATTTTGGAGTATAAGGCCCCTGGTCTGGAAATACTGAATCATAAATCTAAAACCCAGACCCAGACAAGGCTGGCAATTTCAGTTAAATCAACTGCCCAACTGGAAATACTGAAACCAAAGATTGAACAACAGAATTGAGATCCAGAAAAGACTGGTAATTACAACCAATTCAACAGCCCTGATCAAACCAAAAAATTTACATTCTAGATTTCTTCAGATGCTACTGGCAAATACAGTGAATCGCTAACCCTGATTTGGAACGAACCTTATCTATTACGACAATAAAAGAATATGCAATGTATCTGGTGTGATGTTACAACATAACAATATAATATATACAACTCATTCTAAACTGAAACTCTACCATCTATTAATGGAACGTGGCCAATAACTCACTGGTGAAACAATAAAATTATACCTTAGCCACTTTTCTGTCAAATAAAACAGCAGATCTGAGGGAATAGAGGAAGAGTTGTTCGAGTATCTTAATGAAAATTGCATATTAATTCTTCTTCTTACAAGCTATTAACCTCAAATTACCTGGCAATTACAGGATGTGCGTTCTTCTATTAAATTGAATTCTAAAATTTGATAATAATTTCGTAACAGATTGTGATAGCTTGTAAATTAGTGTTATCAATATTTTAGGAAATAAGGACAATTATCAGTATTATTAGT